TGTCACACCAGGAATTCACGGGCTCAAACTCCTGCTGGCGGCCATTCTTCGGGACGAATAGATTAGATGATCTGGAAAGTGTTTACAATCCGTCATATATTTAAACCATCCTTTTATAATTCCTAGCTCTTTTTGTCTGATTCTTATTATGGAGAAATGTACCAAACAAGGTATTTTCATCGCAATTTGTTGTATTTGAGTAAAATGTAAACAATAACAAAAGCCCGCAATGTATGACCCTGACACTAATCGTTTAATAAAGACTTAAAGGTGACATTGACGCACAACATTTTGTTGTCCCATCTGACAAACAGATTACTTTTAAAAGAAGTGGCGGTGCAGTTTTGACGATTCGAGTGTCCCTATATGTCGTGTGCCGTGGGTTAAAAGTCGTGTGTAAAGTCATGGGTCATAAAATGTGCTAAAAACACATTTTTTTCACGAAGATATTATTTTTATTTTTAATATTTTTTTCGTACTTTTTCCATTTATGCATTAGATAAACACAGTAAAATGTAACGCAACAAATCTCCAGTAATAAAATAATTTCTTATCTTGCTGTTATCTATAGTAGCCTATAACAAGTAAATGTTTGATTTTGTTTCCGTTTCGTATAGTCTAATAAGCCTCTATAGAGTATAAATGTATTGTTTGATGATAAAATGTCTTAAGTTATAGGATATAGGTTTATCAGTTAGCTTTGGAAGTGTTATAGTCCCTATCATGAACGTCGCGAATAACTATGTCGATTGCATATGTCTGATACAAACATATTCAGCTATAAATTTTACGCTGCAGTGCCTGTATAATTAGTGGCTAGCGCTCGAGCCTCAAATATCTCCTTGCTATTTTATCTCCTAGACCAAGTATATGTTCGTGGCCCTTAAAGGTAGACAAACATTTCATGTGTATGTGGCGTTCGGAAATATTCCATAAATTGCTACGATTTGGGATTTCGGATCCCGATTAAAAACCGAAATGATTTGTGCGATGTCGGGCTAATTGCCAACCGAGCGCGCTAGCCGCTGTTATTTCGACAGAATATGATACCTCTACACTTTTCAGCCGTAATTTTCAGCGCGCATTGTAATCATATACATATCGTTTAATTTAGCTTCAAAAACTTGATAAAAAAAAACATGTTAACTTCCCGCGGAGCGCAATGGTGTCATAGTTGCCAGAGGCAGAGCACATGCAAAGCCGCCTCGGTATAAATCATGTATATAACGGGAAATCTTGCTTATTTCAGTCTAATAAAGTCAACTTTGATATTAATGTACGCAACATGCTGCGCATTTTACATTTAACAAAATAAGTTTTTGAAGCTAAATTAAACGATATGTATATGATTACAATCCGCGCATTATGTATTACGGCTGAAAAGTGTAGAGGTATCATATTCTGTCAAAATAACAGCGGCTAGCGCGCTCGGTTTGCATCGCACAAATCATTTTGATTTTCAATCGCGAAATCCCAAATCGTAGCAATTTATGGAATATTTCCGAACGCCACATACACATGAAATGTTTGTCTACTTTTAAGGGCCACGAACATATACTAGGTCTAGGAAATAAAATAGTAAAATTTGAGGCTCGAGCGTTGGCCACGTAGAATTTATAGCTCAATATGTTTGCATCAGACATATGCAATCGACATAGTTATTCGCGACGTTCATGATATAGGGATATAACACTTCCAAAGCTAATAAACCTATATCCTAATAATGGCTAATATCCTATAACTTAGGACATTTTATCATCAAACAATACATTTATAGACTTATTATAAGACTATACGAAACGGAAACATTTACTTGTTATACTATATAGATAACAGCAAGATAAGAAATTGTTTTATTACTGGAGATTTGTTGCGTTAAATTTTCCTGTATTTATCTAGCGCATCGAAGGAAAAAGTACGAAAAAAATATTAAAAATAAAAATAGGAAAAAATGCGTTTTTAGCACATTTTATGACCCACGACTTTACCCACGACTATACCCACGACACACGACTTTTAACCCACGACACACGACATATAGGGACACCGTGACGAGTCTTTTAATTAAAATGAGCAATACAAATTTGTTGTAAATTTTATTCAGCTTTACGCGTAGTGATTCGTGAAATTCTGAACATTTCAAAGAAAATATCTTTTATCGATAGTTTCATCGGTCATGTAGGGATTTCCCGAAATTCGACGTATGTCTGGCATACTTTAAACACTGAAACTAACGTGCTAATTCGAAACATTCTTGCCCGATTTAATTAAATCCATCATATAGCGTGGCTACCACAGTGGGACGTGAAACCATTGCATTCAATTCAGCTGCTTGCGTTAATAGTGTTTGTTTAAGCATACGGGTCGGCTCTGTGGCTACCCATATGGTCGGCTCTCTGGCTACCCATCAGTAATGTTCAAATGTATATAAATGTGGGAACATTTGTGAAACATTCAAGGAATTTTCAATTTTCATGAATTCAAGCACCGGCCAATATCAGCTGCACGAAAAACTATATCAATCGACTTTGGTTATATATTAAGTTTTATATTTTCTATATATTACATGCAGTTATAAATATGTATATACATTTAAATAGTTCTTCAAATAAGCATTCAAGTTCAGTTTGAACACGTATCTCCGTATCTGCAAAGGAATGTGCTTCAGGTAGTTATATCTCTAAATCCACAGCTGTCAAAGGAATGTTTGTACAGTGTATATTTGATACTTGCACAGCACGCCATCCGAAAGTACTTAAACGAAGTACTTATCAAGGATATCAGTATAGGTTTCGAGTGCAATTTGGAAAAAACATGCCGAGTGAGTTTTTCAAAGACGATCAAAATTGAACGCCCGTATTCTAAAAGCTCACTCACACTCAATGAGTAGAGGCTCAATCTGACTTATCTGAGCTTCTCTCGAGTGTCATTGCTGTTTTTGAATAGCTGGAGGGCTAGTGTCGGTACCTTACTATGTGACTGCTCACCCTCCAGCTATTCGAAAACAGCATTGACACTCGAGAGAAGCTCAGATCGAACCTCCACTCATTGAGTGTGAGTGTGCTTTTAGAATATGGGCGGAAGTCTTTGAAAACTCACGAGTGTATGTTTTTTCAAATTGCACAAGAGGCCATTAAGCCTGGTTCACATATGCCTGCGGTATGCCTGCGACTGTACCATTATGCCTCTACTTGCCGCCGAAATACCGGCAAAGTTGAACTCAAGTCAACTTTCCCGGCCTACCGCCGATGTAACTGTAGCACTGGAGGCAATCGGTAAACAAATATTCACATAATTTACGTTTTGAGCTACCATCGGCATCGTCGCCGGTACGTCGCAGGCATATATGTGAACCAGGCTTTACCTATACTAATATCCTCGATAAGTACTTATTAATAATATACATGAAAGAATTATGCAGTCACGTGCGTAAGTCACATTTAAAAATTAAGAAAATTATTAAGAATTTTGAAAAATAAATAATTCAGAAAATTGCACTGTACTTCATTTCTTGGAACAGTATTTCGAAAAAATCGCACTGCTCGTAGCCAATCAGAATTGAGAAATTTTTTATATATATTATCATCCTCATTAATAGTGAGTTTGGGAACCGAAAACGACAAGGGCAGAAAAGAAAATTGCTTTCATTTTTTTATTCGAGCCAAAACACACATTACTAAGCTTTATTTACCTCTCCCACACAACTTCTAATGACTTTTAGGGTCTGGGTTTTTTTCGACACCCATTTCTCCTATTCAATTTGGTTATTTGGTAATTAAGAGTGAATGTCAGTAAAAATCGAACATATGAGACATTGCGCGGCCACGACTGAAATATCGATTTTGCTCAAATTTTGCCCAGATATACCTTATTATATCAGAAAATGCACCATATATTTTTTTAGGTCAAATGCTTTTTTAACTTTGAGAAAATGCCGTTTTAACACGACCACCCTAAATCGCCATTTTTTCTGGGAAAATATGCGCTGATTTTACAGATAAATTTCACGACGACAACCGTTTCTAATCGATCTAAAACCCTAAAAATCTTGTTTTCGGTTATTCAAAGGACGGTATACATGACTTACAGGAAATCTGAGTTACTTTTAGGAATAGATATAATCGTAGTTTTGGAGCACACTATCTTACTTCATTTACGATACCCTCTTAACAAAACCGATTTTCACCATGCGATAAAGCTCCAAATCGATCATGCTTCTACTAGTTGGCTCTTTAATAAGCAAGCTTTCAATTGACGTAAATACTTCTTTTGGCAAATGAATACGCGATAAACGACAGCGCGTTGAAATCGTCCGTTTTTGACGTCTTGCAAGTCAAACGCTGTTAATTTACATACCGTCGAAGTAAACAATTTAATCAAGTATTTTAAGTATTTTACCCTTTGAGAAGAAGATATATTCTTGAATGGAGACTTTTTGCCTTGCTTAGTTTAAAATTGGTCCAAAAATCCCGAGATATTTGTAAAATATCATCATATACAGGTATTTTGAAATATAATATTGTTGTCAGTACTCAGTTGCATGACAACTTCAGATCATTGTTCAATATTGTCTACTTTTAATAGCGCAAACATACAAATCGATGAGCTGTTTAGGGATTTTGTATTTGTTACTAAATTTCCCAAAACTAGAACTTCAATTGGCAATTGTTGTTTTGTTCCAGTTTGCATTGATCCATATAATGTACCATTTAGTATTTACATATCGACTATCGAGTATAAATGTTTACGAATACATAAGTTAATTATTAAGCAGCTGTTAATAGCGTGCGTGTGAAATGAACATTTTTCCATACAAGGATTTGTTATTTTATTATATATTCTACCACCTCAAACTCAAATTATAGGCATATAGCAAACACTGTAGTTTAGAATAATGTGTGTTTACTTTGATGCACAGTTAAAATAATCAGTAAAATTACTTTATTTTGATACACTAATGTCTATTGATATTATTATATTTCACAAGTACTAGTACCCAAAAATACAGCATTGAGATATGTTGGCCCAGTGCGCGACACCACAAATTATTATTGTCTCCCCACACGTCGCGTTTACAGAAAATGAAAGCTTGTTGCTCGTTTAACGCCGGATTAACCACGTGTCAAATACGGCAAATGCCGCGGGCCTCGCGCTTTACTGTGCTACGCCCATTTTTACGAGAACACGGCCATTTTCTATTGCGACACACCCATTTTAGGGGCCTCGCGAATTTAGGGACCTCGCGCATTTAGGGCCCCTAGGCTTTCCAGTTCGCCCTAGCACGGCCCCAGGAAAATATGCAATACTCGTGTTCATATAATCTCTAGTTGCGTACGTTGAGCTGTTATATTATGATCCTGTTTATACCCACCAACTGCGCCAGGCAGGCCATTATCTCGTTTATAATTGATGCAAATAAATTGAAATATTGAAAAAAATTATTTAACACTTTTGTGTGTCTTTAAATTCAATGGTTTTCATAAAAAGAAGAAAGGGGGAGGTTTGGGGGCCTCGCGCTAAAATTTTAAGTGCCACGGGACTCGCGCGACGTTAATCCGGCCCTGGTCACTTGTCGGTAGTTCTTGCGGTTTTAATGCCAATTCACAAAGATCAAAAGAGACCAGCTCAGTGAAATATGGGGCTCCAGGGCCAATTATACCCTTGGGGCCCCGGTGAACCACAATTACACCTCTCCGTCGACAAACTTTTTATCGCCTTGCAAATTTGTATTTACCTGTCTTCCTTGACCTGGAGTCGCGGAGAAAATTGCTCCCTTTGCCGCCTCCCTGCATGGGCGGCCCTGGCGCCGCCCTTGTCTTATCATAACTATCTACCCTAATTCAAGCTGATTGGCGCGGCTCGATGAATTAATTGCCGCTTTCAAACGTACAGAGGTTTATTATTTTAAACTTCTAGAACCAGGGTACCTGTTGTCACTCTGAGGCCAGCGAAATAACCTCTTCCGCAACATGCACGTACGTGTCTACTATCGTTAAGAAACAATCAATACGTATAATCGTTGTGGTCTGTGGGATTTTAATTCAATAGTGTAAACCTTGCAGTTTTAGGGAAGCCTCACATATCGATTTTTTCCACAAGAAACGTCTATGTTCGTTTTGGGGGTGGGGGAGGGGGGTTTACAGCTGTGACGTTTCTCTGTAAATATCATGGAAAAGTTCGATAGTTTTTTCGAAAAGCTTAACATTTCGGAATCAACTTTGCAGAGTATAAAAAAGAAAACAACTTGAAAGAAAACGACTATTCAAATATATAAAGGGCTGGTAAACTAAAAATAAAAACTCCTTATATGGATAAACATTATAAACGTTCATTTCACATGTACACGCACGCTAACAGCTGCTTAATAATTAACTTACGTATTTGTAAACATCAGTCGATAAATAAAATGGTACATTAATATGGCATGTAGTAAAACACTGACTACCGGAACACCGGAACACCACCATTTTGTTTGGGGTTAGGGTTTGGGGTTAGGGTTAGGGTTGGGGGTTATGGTTGTGGTTAGGGTTAGGGTTGGGGGTTAGGGTTGGGGGTAGGGTTGGGGTTAGGGTTAGGTGGTGTTCCGGTGGTGTTCCGGTGGTGTTCCGGTGTTCCGGTAGTCAGTGTTTTACTACATGCCCATTAATATGGACAAAATGGATCAAAACCCCTGAAAACAGCAGTTGTAGTTCCAATTCTTTTGGGGAATTTAGTAGCAAATATATTCCTTAAATAGCTCATCGATTTGTATATGTTAGCGCTAAAGTCAAACGGCCGGGTCGTAGATCACGTTGAATAATGATCTGAAGTTATCATGCAACCGTCAACAATGTCTCAAAATACTGGATGTTTGATGATTTTTTTTACAAATATACCGGGATTTCTGGACCACTTTTAAACTTAGCAAAGCGAAAAGTCCCATTCAAAAATATGTTCTTTCTCAAAAGGTAAAATACTTAGAATACTTGATTAAATTGTTTACTTCGACGGTGTATAAATTAACAGCGTTTGACTTGCAAGACGTCAAAAACGGAAGATTTCAACGCGCTGTCGTTTATCGCGTATTCATTTGCCAAAAGAAGTATTTACGTCAATTGAAAGCTTGTTTATTAAAGAGCCAACTAGTAGAAGCATGATCGATTTGGAGCTTTATCGCATGGTGAAAATCGATTTTGTTAAAAGGGTATCGTAAATGAAGTAAGATAGTGTACTCCAAAACTACGATTATTTCTATTCCTAAAAGTAACTCAGATTTCCTGTAAGTCATGTACACAGTCCTTTGAATAACCGAAAACAAGATTTTTAGGGTTTTAGATCGATTAGAAACGGTTGTCGTCGTGAAATTTATCTGTAAAATCAGCGCATACTTTCACAGAAAAAATGGCGATTTAGGGTGGTCGTGTTAAAACGGCATTTTCTCAAAGTTAAAAAAGAATTTGACCTAAAAAAATATATGGTGCATTTTCCGATATAATAAGGTATATCTGGGCAAAATTTGAGCAAAATCGATTTTTCAGTCGTGGCCGCTTTATGTTTGATTTTTGTGGACATCCTCTCTTAAATGTTTTGATCGCAAGAACAAATGACATGGATGATGTTTTGAAATCGCTTAACGACCCTTTAGTGAAATGTGACCCTTATTTATATTCAGTAAAAACTCGCTTAATTTAAAAAAACATTGAATTAAGTATCGCCAGCCTGAAATTTAGACAACTAACCAAAATACAAGAACCACGTCAGTCTAACAAATACATGGACCATGGTGAGACTGGTTCTTAAAAATCTTAACTTTTGTACTTTAGAAAATAGAAATAGGGCAGCAAAACGAAGCTCTGTGCTCAGGCTAAGGTAGAAACTGAAAGCATGTCCTAAGGCAAATCGTATAAATCTGTTGCTTATAGCACCGAAGGAGGATACGTTTTATCAAATTCGGAGGTTTTAAACATGGCTCTATATCAGAAATTACGTTGTAAGTTGCAGCAAAAATTTCCCGTCGACGTGTGACATTGCACATGTGCTATCGCTGCAAGCTACTCGCTGTATAGGGTGGAACATGTACAACCTTCAGAAATACCTGATGTGCACTGATTCAAAATAATTCATCAAGTAGGGAAGCAGTCTTGGTCGGAGTCTTTCGTGAGATCTTCGGAGTCACGACTACGTCATCATCGTCATCATCGTCGCCGCCGAAAGTTTCCGAAGGTCGCGATGACCAAACGTTCGTGGATTTTGAGCTTTCTTTGTTGGTGGGTGTGGTCTTTTTACGAGGAGCAGGAACTGGGGCCTTGATTAAAACATAAGTCATCGTGAAATCGTGTATCCAGAGTATACCCATTGTCAGTTTAGGGGAGTCGGTGATTTTGGAAAAGACAATTTTTGAAAGTTTACTATGGGACAATTTAGTTTTAATTACGTGATATACATATTATGCAATCTTTTCACGTAAATACCCCCTCCCTCCCCCCGACCGTTTCAATGTTGCGTTGATGTCAGAAGTGATATATTTTTTATGGCAGGGACATTGAAGAGGGGGAGGGGGGGCATGGGGGAACTGAACATTCGGGATGTTTCGACGTTTCATGATTTCTCCAATAGTTGCTGGCATAGATTGTATAATATATTTTGGCATGATTTCTATACGGTGTTTTGCAATGTATAAGGATAAACAATCGCTGACAAAAACATGTCAACGATTTACAGCAGTTTCGCGTATTACGCGACCACCTCACGCAAAAAGATTGATAGCAATAGTTGTTTTTGACATTAGGCGCGGTCACTAATTCACTATTAGAAAGAAACGTTACCAATTGCACACAACCCGCCAAAGCATATATGAAGCAGGGAAAACCACAGAACGACCAAGGCAGTTCCATAGACCACAGTGACTGGCTGACAGTCTGACCTATTTGAAACCTTCAAGTGTTTGTTACAAAGTTTCACATGAACAGAGACAATGGCTTATTTGCGACTGTTCATCTCCCAACCCCGCCTAGATTTTGGCTACTGAAATCACCAACCTCTCATCTGAAGTTTGCAAAGAGCTTCGAGAAATTTTTCGTACCCAGTTCATGGCGTACGTTTTGCACTAGCTATATCACAGGTCTTAAAATATCGGTCGGTCAGGGACATTGTCGAACCCATTCGTGAAATTGTCCGACGTAAAGAGGAAACCACCGGACATTCTGTCCGACCTAAGTGAAACGGAGGTTTATTGTTTGTCCGACCTGAGGGTATTGGTGTCCGACCGAACTCTAGCTTTGTCCGACGTAAAATCAAAATGTACCCTAGTCCAGGACTGGAGGCTCGTGTCTTATATGGACAATCAGAGTAGTGTATAAAACGTGAACTGGAAATGTTGTTTTAATGTAATCAAGGGCGGGGCGGCGAACGAAATGGTGAAGTGGAAAACGGGCTTAAATTGTCGTAGTCTTAAGTCTTACTGCTGTTCTTGGCAAGCAAGTTAATTTTGGCTTGGAAATAAGTATGAAGGACACAAGTTATTTAATATCTTCACAACATTTGCCGTTCAGAATTAATACATTGTGTCACTATTAATTTGTGTCATTCAGACTTATTTCCGAGCCAAACTGAGCTGAGGGTTATCAGACATCATTACACATAATGTCCGACCCGAACTCAAAGTCATCGGAAATTTTGTCAGACGGCCCTGTAAAAGACATTTTAAGGCCTGTATATAACGTTTGTGCGTGTACTGTTGTAATAGCGTAATTGATGCAAAATATGCATTCTCGTGCATCACCATATATGAAAAAATCGACCTACGCTACCGAAGTTGTTGCAACTTGCAACACGAAAGAGGAAACTCAGGCACTTTTGTGGCCTAGGCCAAAAAAAAATATGTGGGTTTCCTATTTCTTCTTGTAAAAACTTGGGTAGGGTAAGTCGGTTTTAAGTTGTTTTTTTAACTTCTTTTTAAATTTTCCTAACAACCGGACGCCATTTTGTTTAGTCAGTGCTTCCACATCCAAAGATAAATTTCTAATATTGCCTCGAATTTCCATTTTCCGCAAACGTGTAAGTGGAAACACTTACAAGCATGATCCGGATAAAAAGTTTAGGGTCGGGATTTCGGCGTCCAAAAGCTAGGTAGGGTTGGGAAACTGGAAACCCACATATTTTTTTTGGCCATATTTTATTCCTATTTTATTTTAAGAAATGAAAAAGTGTACTCACGTTTTTGTTTCGTTTGGTACTTCCCCATGAAAACAAAGCTAGACACAAAAAAAGAAAACAACTATTTATTTTTGCCAAGGGTGGCTAGTTCTACTGTAGCGAACTACAATTTTCAAGTAGCCAGTAGTTTTTGACTACTTTTTCAAAACAGTAGCTGTAGTTATAGCGAACTACATTTTGCCTAAAAGTAGCCATGTATAGTTGACTACTTTTCAAACAGAAAATCGCTATTCGCTACTTTTTAAAATTGTTAGCAACTGGATAGAATAGCAGGATATTGAGACACGGTTTGCTGAAAATCAATACTCAATTTGCATGAATAAAATATGCCGTGCGAGTGCATGCCATCTTATTTACTCGTAAGTCGATTTGTTATATAGGTTACATTACAGCCTGAGCTAGTAGATGCTCCAAATACAGTAAAATTAAAAAATATTGCGTAGCGAAATAGCGAAATAATTCGCTACATTTTTTAAGCAGTAGCTGTAGTCAGTAGCGAACTACTGTTGTTCAAAAGTAGCAGTAGTTGTAGCTGACTACATATTTTTGAAGTAGCTGTAGTTATAGCGAACTACAAAAAGTTTGTAGTCAACCCACCCTTGATTTTTGCCTTACACGGTACTTCAATGCAAATGATATACTCACCTGTAGTCAAGATACTCAGATGTCACTATTTTGACTACTACGTATGATAAAGATTGTATACTACATACATTTTTTCGGTTTCTCGTCCACCGCTGCATCACTTGATGTTTTGTTTTTCTTCGGCACATTAACCTCGCTTTCAGGATCACTTCCAGCCTGGCTCTCAAACCGCTGTTGTTGGGTTGACCGTGATGAAGTGAAGAAATTGTCTAAAGATGACTCATTCTCCGATCCTGGGATAAATACATAGTTCATCATGTAGGTTTCCTATATCTCGATGGACGAATATGGGACTAGTGTATGTATCAGGGGCGTAGGCAGCCCCAAACAAGTAGAGGCGGGGGGATGGGGGTTCCAATCGTTGAACACATAGAACAATTTTGGAAGTCGCCCGTCCAGGGGCATGGCCCCCCGGAAATTTGTCTATTTAGGCTGCGAAACGCTATCTCATGCATTTTAGACACGTTTTGTGGTAATCTGAAAGCCACAAATTTGGTATATTTTATGTCACAGACGAAAATATTAGGAGGTTACCGCCTCCCCAGCATGTGCATCAAGTCCAACGCGCAACCCCCAAAAACTTTTTTGCCTAAAGTGAGTTTTAAATCTTTCATTTTGGTGAGCAGGCTATTTTTGGAGTTTTTTTTTTTAAAAACAACAACTTCCTGTGCTTGATTGACTTGAAAGTTTACTATTCAAAATAATTTTAGTGCTTAATACACCAGCAGAATCCAAACTACCTATGCTTGCATAAAATTTTCACAAACTTTGCGAAAGTTGCTGTTTAGC